CCCCATCCATCGTGCGCTGACACGAGGTGCCTCGCACCAGATGGACTCACACGAGGTCGAGTGCATGCAGCGGTCAATGCAGATGCACTCACGGAAGAAGCGGGAGCAGCGGAAGGAAAGCAAAGGAAAGCAAAGGAAAGCAAAGGGGTAGAAAATGGCTGTCGTCACTACTCTCACGGTGAATGCCAACCTCTCCTCCTCTCTTTTTTTTCGAATGAAACTTTCACGTGATTCCCAGATGCAATGGAAAAGCTCGGTGAAATAGACTCCAGACGGTGGTGGGGGGTGGAATGTGCGTGGGACCGTTTTGCCTTCCAACAGAGTATCGTGTGCATGTATCCATACATACATGGTATCATACATTACTCTCGTAGCATGGACGGGGTAACAGTAGTCAGATGTATGGTTGGTGATGAGAATTGCCGAGTATGCTGGTGGTGAGTGCGGGTTTGTCTGCTGACGTCATGGAAGGAATTCCGCCCTCTGTCTGCTACACCCATAGGATGAAGTTAGCGGTTGATGGAGGGGAGTGAAACGGAAGAAGCCTTTTTTTACCAGTAACCTTTTTGCAGGAAATCAAGTCTTTTACAAGTCATCGAATGCATATCGATTCTTTCGAAAGGGGGGGGGGGGGGGGGAGAGAGAGAGCGTGTGTAGGATAGTGAATGTGTGTGTGTGTGGAAACAATAACAGCTACGACATGGAGTATTTCAGATGCAGCAGGTATTGATAGAGTACTACTCGTAAATCAGCAATAGCACTACCGCTACATAGTAGCTGGGATATTGCATTATTCCCTTAGTAGTCTTAGCCTCTCACTGTCTAGCGAAATGACCAGGGGTGTGCGGATATAAAGGATTGGCAGTCTCTTGGACGTTTGCTGGGTTGCTCCCGGAGATGGTGTATCGTAGTTGCTGAGCGTGGTTAGCAGTATTACCCGTACAGTACTGGTACTCGACATAATAGGTATGGACAGCCTGGACATTAACCAGCCACCCAACTGATACGCTGGTTGCTGTGGCGCATACGGAGAGCATAGACCTGCAGCAGGAGCTGAAAGCAGTGTCCCACCGAACTGGCCGGGACACGCAGCGTATCAACACCTGCACATGTAGGTACGCTCTCGTTACTCTCTGAGTCTTTACCGAAAGTGGGAGTTGACAGCTGAGACAGATCCATTACGAGTATGGAGAGAGAGAGAGAGGTGGAGGAAGCCACCTGCTGAGAGAGAAGAAAAAGAGCACATCCGCCACGTATTCCTTGCTTTTCTGTCCTTCATTACTTTCCTGCTTCTCGACTCTCCTGGTTACGACATCGGCTGTGCATCGTGACATGATATGGGACATGAATTTGAGAGAAAGAAGAAAAAGAAAAAAAAGGGGGGGGGGGACGAATGGAAATTCGACAAGGGAAAATGTCGACGCAAACGGAGACTATCCAAAGCAGCATATTCCCACTTCTATTGATTCACATCCAAACAGAGGGAGGGAGCTTGCGCCACCAGCTATTCCGCAGCTTAGAAGAGTAGAGCCGCTCTCACCATCATCATCATCAGCACTACTTGCTGTCTGTTGTTACCTTTGGGGATACTGTGAAGATGTAAAAGAATCATGGAAAAAAATGAGAGAGGAAAATACAAGAGTGGGGATGCCAGCTGAACAAGCTCCCCCCCCTCCAGGCAACCTTTTTCTTTCCTTTTTCTAACTAACCTACCGCTAGATTGGGGCAATGGAGAGGTACCCACAGAGGTCCTCGTAGATCATCGATCTGGACCCGTCATAGCAATTCCCGATGACGACCCACCGTCATGATTAGGCACACCCCCCGGACTGGTCTACGACGTAGCCTACCGGCAAGTAATCTTGCTCGGTAGGAGGATAGCACTATCAGCTCACCCTCTTATAGACCACGCGTCCTGGTTAGTCCTCCATGTCGATGACGACTTTTCTTATGTGTGGTAGGCCTTGTGTCTGTCACCGGTGCAGTCGGCAGAACTCTGTTTCTTGTTAGCTTCGGTGCTAGAGGTCCATTGGTGATTTGTGCTCCGGGCCCTCCCACAGAGCAGCTGGTACAGTGTCTGTAAGGAGTAGAGGGCTGAGAGCGAATATGAGTAGCAGCAGTACTGTCATGGTGCACATGCCTGCTCAAAAGGTAGGTACAGTGTCAAGATGGGCAGGTGTTGATGCGACCTGTTGCGGACTGGGCTCTCTTCTCTTCTTCCTTTCACTTCCCAGGGTGGAGCGCTTAGTTTGGGAGCGGGGATACAGACTACGTCGTATGCGTATTTTTACACATTGCATTGTCGTAGTTGTATCACTCGTCTATCGATACTCGTAACTTTTCAATGTAGTCAGATGCAGTCTTTAGTATATGAGAGGGACGAACAGAGTAAAAGAGCGAGGAGGAGAGAGAGAAGGAGAGAGAGAGAGAGAGAGCATCGTGGAAGTACCAAGCGAGCTAATTATACACCCCCCTAACCACATTACCCACACACCCACACCCCTCCCCCCATGTCCGGCTGGGAAGTTTCCGAAGCCTGGCACAGACGACGATGACGATGCTGTTTTTTTCCCTTCTTTCCCTTTTGCTTTCCTCTACGCCAATTACCGTTACATATCGTTCGTTCCACAGAGGTTCCGCCCACCTCTTTTCGGGGTTTCTCCCTCCCTCTCCCTCTTCCTCTCTCAACCGCCACACCCCACACGTCTCTTCTTGCTTTGCCGCGTGCGGTGCTCTGCTCTGTCCAGGCTAAACCATGCGTGTACGACCAACTCCTGCCTCTCTCTGTACTATGTAACACTGTAAAGTTGAACCTCCCCTTCGACTCTCGTCATTCGTTATACTGCTTAGATCCCTCCCCACTTTTTCCAGAGGGAAAAAAAAAGAGGAAAGGTTCGCTGATACAGTTGTAGGAGTAATTGTAGCGGTACCTTGGAAGGAGGGTGCGGGCGGCCTGTGACGACAGAGACATCCCCCCCGACAACGTCATCGCTGAAACATCACAATCAAATACGTTGTTGCTCTGGTATCGGCGCCACCATCTCTGTCTTCACTTTTACCTGAGCCAAGTTATATGACCAACTGACCCTAAAGCATGTTCAGCTTCTGACGTACCGGTACCTGAACTTGCCCATGATCCGTATCCACCCCCAGGACCCTCTTTCTCCTCCATCATCGACCACACCCTTTTCCGTGATGCGTACGGATACTACCATACTTGGGTTACGGTACAGTGCTGAAAAGAAAACTGAGCAACTAGGATATAAAAAATATAAAGAATAATAGATTAAAAAAATTAAAACAGTCCTGCCTTACTGCTCCGTAATTTGTGGGGTTGGCTACCCTTCTTGGATCAATTAGACCCTGATGTTGTCATCCCTAGCTTAGCTCCCCCCCCTCCCCATCGCTCCTGCCCACCTAGATCCTGTTCGTTTCTTGTCTTGGAGAGGGGGGCTGCTCTCTTGCTATAATTTCTTCTCGCCTCGCTCCTTCCCTCTTTTCACTTCTTCTACTTCTCCCTTCCCTCCCTTTTCTTTCCCTCTCATCAACTGTGTCTCTATTATACCCAAAATCTTCCCTTTTCTTACTTTTCGGTACTAATACCCCCCAAATCGTCCTTGTGATACCCCGGCTCCTTGTTTATTCTTGGATCGTTCGCTTTTTTACAACACGTACCAACGAAACCTGAATCCGATTCTTCGCAGCAAAAGAGGAGAGAACTCCCTAGATTCTATACCTGCACATTCGAATCGGGAACAGTCTTCTTCTACAAAAGGTCGGTCAACGGGAAAAAAAAGAAGATTGAATAAGAACCAAAAGAAGAGGCAGGATTTCACGCCATCATGCCCGTCGACGTCAACCGCCCCACCGATACCAAGCTCAAGGAGGCCGACATCAACCGCAAGCTCCAGATCTACGGTATCATCAACGCCTTCCAGCATGGCAAGGCCCCCTCGGTATGTTCCTCCCAATTTCATCACCGGTCATGGAGCCACCCTCAATAGCAACACTGGTGGGCGCAGAACTGGCAGTCCCAGCATATGATTGACATTGAATACCTCCACGCAGAACGAGCAGATTGATGTCGCTCTAAACAGTTTCCTTCAATCCAAGATCCTCGGCAAGCCTCATGAGAAGCTCTCTGCCGACGGAAAGACGCTCGTCAATGACACCCGCGACGTCGTCGAGAAGGCCAAGGACCTCTTGCTCACCAAGAACGAGGGCAACCTCCTCCAGGACTTCATCTGGCAGACTCGGGGCTACGACTACAAGAGCGTCAAGGGCCCCGAGAGCACCCTCAAGAGGGACGATGCCAAGCGTGATGGCCAGGAGGCCCTCCAGGGTCTGAGGACTCTGGGTACACTGCTCGTCACCAACGGCCAGTTTCGCAAGCTGCGTATGTTGACCCCTCAAGAGTAGCGGAGAGCAGGAAAAAGTCCCCTGGAATGTGGAGCAGTGCTGACACGTGTTACAGTCAAGGATTCTACCGTGCTCTTGCGTGATGTCGCTGCCGATGGTGCTACCAGCGCTGCCGGTCGTGCTCGCCCCAAGGATGATGCCCTCGCCCAGCTCGACCAGGCTGCTGCCGACAACACCTGGCACGAAGCCCCCAACCTGTCCAAGGAGGCATGGAAGGCTAAGAAGGACAAGTACTACGCAAGCAAGCCCAAGGAGGATGCCTCGGATGTCGCCAAGGACGTCAAGTCGTCTGCTGCCAACAACGACTCTGCCGAAAAGGCTGCCGACGATGCTGCCAAGAAGAGCAAGAACAAGTTCGGAAACAGGCTCTCGCCTGAGGCCCAGGAGAAGCTCAAGAAGCGCCATGAGGAGTACCGCCAGAGGGCAAAGGATTACTACAACAAGAAGATGCCCGCCGAGCGCAGAGATCAGATCGTATTCCGCCTCAAGAAGATGATACTTGAGTGTCAGCAGCACCCCGACTATTCCCAGGCTATCCAGACCCTCCTCAAGCTTGCCGAAAACTACGGCAACCACGGCTCTGCCATGGGTAAGTCGGTCGGTGGCAGCGCCGGCCAGGCTCGCAACGGTTTCGCCGCTGCCGAGGCGGACCTGCGCACACTCCTCGAGCGCTCTGCCAACGGTACCTCGACTAGCGACCTCTGGGAGTCCATCTCCCAGATCTACAAGGCCGCCCGCAAGGATGACGAGCTGAGCGGCTGGTTCAAGAATGTTGACACCTATATCCGCCGCTGCCTCCTCGAGGATGGCTACGTCCTCGAGAAGTCCTCCAAGGAGGATGGCGACGCCCTCTATGAAAAGGGCAAGTACCTCCTCCGCGAGAAGTACCGCAGCCAGTTTGACCGCGTCGTCGAGGAGGTCAAGTTCCTCGGTGGCCAGTTCGACAAAGACCCCCAGAACAAGGCCTTTGCCGTGTCGGTGCAGAAGCTCTTCAACGACCTCGGCCAGGGCGAGGATGGAAAATCCGCCTTCAAACCCCACCTGGTCAAGGACTTGACCGAGGTCATCATCCCCGGAATCTTTGAGAACGTTGCTTACATTCCCATCCCTCGCATCGAGTACTCGGACCCCCAGTTTGATGCCGTCATCGAGAACCTGGTCCTCGAGAGCGACAACTTCGCCCCCAACGTCTTTGAGCTCGCCAGCGACAACCATTGGCGCTGGGGCCGCAAGAAGCTGGGCAGTAGCAACCGCAACATGATCGACATCAAGGTTTCCGGCATCCAGATGGATCTGCGCGACGTCAGCTACCACATCAAGCGCAAGCAGGGTTTCCCCAGCATCACCGACACTGGTGTCTTCGACCTGATCCTGCCCGGCAACGGCTTCTCGTTCCGCATCAAGGCTTCCACCGCCGACAAGAAGGATACGCAGCATTTCTTCAAGGTTGACAATGTCGATGTCGATTTCAAGTCGCTGCAGTTTAAGGTGAAGCAGTCCAAGTACAAGCTCCTCTTCAGCCTCTTCAAGCCCATCGCCCTCAGAGCGATGCGCCCCGCCATCAAGAAGGCGGTCGAGAGTGCCATCAAAGACCAATGCAACGAGCTCGACGCCTTCCTACACAAGGTCAAGCAGGAGTCAGACAAGTCAACGCTGTCCGACAAGAAGGATGAGGCTCCTTCCAACAAGTACAAGCGCTACTACGAGACCTTCCAGAAGATGATGACGGAGAAGAAGGAGAAGGCTGCTAAGGAGAAGGAGGGCAAAACGTCGGACAAGAAGGTCAATATCGCCATGACTATGGAGGATAGCATCTTCCCCGACGTGCGCCTGCCCTCTGGCATCAGCACCAAGGCAACCGAGTACAAGGATCTAGCCCGCAAGGGCGACAAGTGGGAGAGCCCCGTATTCTCGGTCGGCAAAGCGCAGAAGAGCTCCAAGCTGCCTTCGGCCCCTCGCATCGAGCGCAAGTCGCGTGCCGCTCTCGGCGGCGGTGCCAGCAACGGTGCCAGCAACGGTGCCAGGAATGGCGGCGGCTACACCAGCTCACTCGACCCCGGCTCCAACGGCGCCAACTATATCAATGGCACCGCCAACAACAAGTACGCTCAGGACGCCACCAACGGTGTCACCAACGGTGCCAAGAACGGCGCGTCCGCCATCAACGCTCTGTAAAGCGCGCGTACACACATGCACAAGAACAACAAAACAACAGAATACCCTCAAAGAAAACCACGTCATGATACATGGGCGGTGCGTTGAGGGTTTTTTCTGAAAATTCTTTGCTTTATTTTCCTTTGTCGCCTCTGTCTTTGCTATGATACCTTGCGTGGCTATAATGGGGAGGGATGATGGATCACGCGAAAACGTCTATTCAATTTCTTGTCCCATGTTTCAATATTGTCTCGACACAGTGGAAACAAAACATCTCACCTGAATTTACATGTCGAAATAGTTGCAGTTCATCGATTGAATAGTTAACAACTTTTGAAGTCTTGAAATGACTGTGTAACATGTCCAACTTGTAAGATTGGAAGTACATCATCGTATCTCCTCAGCTAAGCGGTGAGGTTGTATCGAGGGGTACACAGAAAAGTAGAGAATAGGGTTGAGGGGAACGTGGGAAAGAGAGAATGAAGACGTGGCATTGTTCTCTATTGAAGGAAGGGAAAGAAATCTAAAAAGATACAAAAGTAAAGCACGAATAATGTCGATTCGTACTTCCCCAGTAATATATTACCTCACACATTCACATGCGAGGGGCAAAACCCGACGTCACCACTCAGTAATAAGGCGCTGCAACGTGGACTGTCCCTCTGCACACAGATTACGATGTTTCTACTCTCATACAAAACCATCTTCTCCGGCTTGATGCAACTCTTAACATTTACACCCACTTCTTCGACTTGAAGGTGCTGGATGCAACTCGGATAGAAAACAATACGAGAAAGAAGAAACGAAAAAAAGGAGGGCCGAACGAATAGAGAAGAAACAAAACTCATGAGCAAAGCATCATGACCACGGAATCCGAAGCAGCAGCAGCAGCTGCTGCTGCTGCTGCCGCCACCACACCCATCCTCACGCCAACTCAGATAACGGCCCTCTTCGACATCCTCACCCACTCACAGACGTACGCGGAGATTGAATCCTTCAAGTATCCCGATGCAGTGAGGGGCTACGGGCATCCGTTCACATCCGATACCACATCATCGTCACCAGCAGAAGCAGAAGCAGACAAGGCAGAGGCAGAGGCAGAGGTAGAGAAAAACAAGGCAGAGACAGAGATGAAGAACAAAGACGAGACTGGAACAACAAAAACTTCCGCACCCATCCTGAGCACCCTGCTGAACCGCATCGCCCTGCGACTACCGTGGCTGAGAGACCTGGCACCAGAGTTCTGGTCAGAGAGCATACAGGGCCTACTCGTCTCGCTGGCGGAGGCGGACCTGTCGGAGAGCTATGATAAAGGGACGCTGGGGTTGAGAAAGACACTTGCCACCGGGAGCAGTGCCGTTGTTGAGATGGTGTTTCGGGGCGTGGTGGGGGGTGTGCGGCGCTGCGGGGGTGACACCATGCACGCCATGCCTAGCAAGGACGGCGGGCGGAGTGAGGACAGTCAATATGATTTGGGAAGTGCAGACGATCTTCAGAGAGCCTGGGATAGCGCAGTACAGCAACTCGTATACGGAGACCTCACCCACTCCATGTTCGACCACATGGCCCGCACCAGCGACCTCCAAGGACATTCGCCAACAATCAAAGCCGCCAGCCAGTACACGATCATGCACCTCGCCGCATTCATGCACCAGACATTCACCGTCTCCCCAGAGGGCCAGTACCTCCTCCAGCTCCTCGAAAGCGTCCACGGCCTGCTCCCCTACAAGATGATCAAGCAGACGCTGCGCGTCGGCAACGCCGCCACCATGATCAACGGCATGCTACGGCTGCTCCTGGCCAAGCTCAGCGTCGGTGGCATCACCAACTGGGTCGGTCTGACGACCAATGCCGACGACGGAATGAACCTTCTCCAACGCATAATCTCCCTCGTCCTCTTGTGGGATGCTACCGAGTTTCGCAAGATTGCCGAGCGTATCGAAAAGGGAGCGGACAGCGGAGGCGGAGGCAAATCAGACGCTTCGGCCACTCCGGATGGCAAGGTACTGAAAAAGATTCGGCAGTTTGCTCTTCAAGACGACAGGTCCGAGCACGAGGCCGTACGTGCCGCCAGCCTCGCCCAGTCGCAGTCCATCATCACGGCCATCCTCACCAGCTCCTCCGAACCGGAGCTCGCAGCGTCTCTGTCCGAGGCCCAGCACGCTCAGTGCATGGACTACTACTCGGCCCTGTTGTCGGTGCGCGACCGCGACGCCATCACGACGGTCCTGTGCCGGCAGCAGCCCGACCGCTTCACTCAGGCGGTGCGTGAGCTTGTCACCACGTACGAGCCCTTCATCCGCATGGTGCATCAGAACATTGACCTGCGCGAGCATCTCGAGGGCATGCAGGGCTTCATCGACGATTTCATCAAAACGTGTCGTCCCAAGGCCAACGCGGCCACCACCACCGCCAGCGGCAGCGGCAGCAGCTGGGTCAGCTGGACCAGGGGAGTCATGCTCGCAACCGCTGCTGAGCGGGAATCTGCGCCGACGGTGAAACCCCCCAGCGTAGAGGACTACGTCGGTCTCATCGACAGGAACAAGAACCTCCTGTACCGATGGGTTCACGCCGTAGCCAAGAACTGTCCCGAGGTGTGGACGGAGCTAGAGAAGTGGGTTTCCATGGCGGCGGCCGAGTTTCGACACAAGGATGACGGGGATGGCACCGGGATAGAGTCTCGTCTGGAGAAGCTGTTCCGATCTCTACCCTCAGAGTCTGACCGACAATCTGTCAGGCGTGCACTGGACTCACACGCGGCGTACCTCTCTACCCTGTCTGACCTATCACACAGGAGGTTCCAGCAGCTGCTAGACAGGAATTCCTCTACAGGAGCGGCAGATGTAGCAGAAGAAGCAGCTACCTCGGTCAAGGTCGGTCCAGGAATGTACCTCTCGAGATGGCAGCACCTCCTTGAGCAGACGAGCATCTCGCCAGAGCTTCCCGTCGGACCGGTACGCACAGGTCGCCAGGTCAAGCACACGCTCGCTAGGACCAAGGCGGGTATACTGGGAGACAGAGCGCACGCACAGCAGGATCTGGTGATCAAAGAGGGGGAGAGGTTCCCGACGCAACCGGATGTGAGTGTTGTGGTGGATAAGCTGGGGAAGGGGTTCTTTGAGATGCTGACTTGAGTTTTTGGGGGGGGGGGGGGGGAGAGGGGTTACTTTCCTTTCTCTTGTTTCTTTACACCGTGTGGCATGGCATAGCATATTATATTAGATGGTAATTGAATTCTTAGCCTTTCCCCTACACCTGTTTTCTAGCGTCTCTCTTTCTTGTCTCTCCCTGTACATACTCTTTCTGCTACCCATCTTCATGCTCTTCCATCTGCTTTATAATCGCCCTCAAAGCTATCAATTCACTAGGAATATGCGCTCCGAGTGATCTATCTTGGAAAAACGTATTGTACATGTGAGCGGATTTGAGAAAGAAGAGCGAAGCAAAGCATGATATAAACAGAGGACATACAACGTCCGATACGTATCTGTACATGAGAAAGCAAGGCAAAGCGAAGTGAAGCGAAGCATGATACAACAAGAGGACAGACAAATGTCCGATACAAAACCAGTCCGGCAGACAACAAGAAGAAGGAGGGAATCAGAGGACGATGACGGATGAGTCCGTGGACAAGTCAGAACAGAAATGCTCTCAGGCTGTGTGGTGTTACCCCTGCTTTTCCTTCATCATCACGGTCATGTATAGTGACGTCTTCCACCGCACCGGCTGGGAAGACGGACCCACACGGTCTTGGGCAATATTTCGGACCTACAGATGCGCTCCTGCTACTAGGTGCCGAGTGGGACCAGACGGCCGATGAGGCGGGTAGTATATTGACATCCGTGATCGGATGGGGCATGGGTAGCGGCAGTGGCGGTGAGACGTCGTGAGGATTGCCTGGCCACGCACCCTCCTCGTAGACGGAGGGTGTGGCGGGTGGAGGAGGCCGTTTAGTTGCAATAGTTGGAGGACGAGGAAGGACGACGTTGGCCGGATGAGTGTACTTCGGGGCATTCCGTGACGGGAGTGGCGGGCAGGGGCTTGCTGATGCCGACGCCGGTATTCGGTCGGAGGGGCGTGATGAGACTAGCTCCGTGGCTGCGGATGGAGTCGTCGACCTGCACGGCCGGCACGTCCTGCTGCCCTGGTTCGGGACTCACAGTCGGATCCACGACGGCGACGGCGGCGGCGACGGCGGGTTCGTCATCCTGCACGGCGAGGGGCGGCGGGTTCCCGTCATGCTTGGCAGGGGACTTCATCACGCCCTCGTCCTCGACGTCATCGTCCTCGTCATCGTCCTCGACGACGCCGTGGGGAGCACCACCGCCCCGCCCACCAGTCCGGAGGTAGACCTTCCTCTCGAGCCTGTGGCGCCAGCTCAGGGTCAGCTGTAGCCCCGTGGCGTCCTGGAGGCGCGTGACGAGGGAACCGCAGGGCGCGCAGTTCTTCCTCGAGAAGAAGATGTCAAAGGCCGGCCTCGTGCCGTCGAGCCACCTCGCGCGGCGCAGGCGGTGCAGGTGAGACAGCGACAGGCTCGGCCCGTCGAGGTCGTCGGTCACGCCAAAGGTCCGGAGCATGAGGCAGACGGCGTACACGGCCAGCTTGGCCTCGACGTGGCTTCCCAGGAAGACGCCGGCGTCCTCACCGTGGTGATGGTGATGGTGGCCGTCACGGCGGCGGCCCATGGCGTCAAAGGGCCGCTCCATGGTCAGGCCGAGCAGCCGGCCGACGCGGATGACGCGCTGCGTCCAGAGGGTGTTGGCCAGCACGGGCCCGCCGGCCGGCGCGTCGAGCACGTCGCCCGTCCGGCTGACGCCGTGGCCGCTCTCGGCCCAGGCCACGACGTGCCGGTCCGGACCGCGCGACAGGGCGAGGAAGCCCACCGTCTTGCGCTCGATCCTCTCCACCAGCACGCTCGGCCTGAGCAGCCGCAGGCCGCGCGAGTGGTGCAGCGTAAGCGACGTCTCGGGCTTCAGCACCTGCACTTTCAGCGTGCCCGTGTCGCCGTCGATGATGTGATGGAAGTACATCATTGATGGGTCGTCGGACACGCGGAAGGATAGGCCGGACATTGGGGGCTGGTTCCTCTTTTCTTCTTCTTCTTCTTCCCTTTTCTTTTTTTGCTCATGTTTGAAGGTATTCATTCTGCTTTGCTTGCAGTTCGATGGAAAGACTTTCTGTGACAGGAGTAGAGTCAAGGCATGCGTGTTCCTCTCAGTTTCAGAGCATGTTGTTGGAGAGAGTTGAGATGACTCTGTCTAGTGGGAGTAAGAAGATGGTGAGAAGTTGGGGGGAATGAGAGATGAGGATGGAGAGATCAGTGAATGGATGATTCGGTGAATCGAAGCAGCGGAAGAGTAAGGAAATCAAGTGGTGGTGGTGGGATTTCTCAGTTGTCAAGAAACATGGGTCACAAAACGATGGAGGGGGTGGAGAGGGAATAAAAGAGGAAGAAAACGAAAGAGACGAACCCATTCACACGGACAGTAGAGACGCAGGAACCACGGGCGATAAGAAAGAAAGATGGGACGTAGGAAGACAGAGATCTCAGTTGAAAACCGACTGACCCATATATGGGAATATCAATTGATACAAGCAAATAAGACCGTACGCCTTTCCCGTGTTCCCAAATGGTGTAAGATTTCTCTTTCTTTTTCACCTAATTTTTTTTTTTTGCATCTCCCCGTGATTTTTGTTCTGAATGTTTCGAGTTTTTTTTTTTTTTTTGGAAAAATTTATACTGCGTTGACAACTTTTCCTTTACTCGTCATCCTCCTCCTCATCCTCCTCCTCGGCCTCGGCGACGGTCTGAGCGATACGGTCCAGATCACGCTGGCCAGCCTGGGTGATGCGGCGACCGCCCTTGTCCTCGTCCTGCTCAAGGACACCAATCTTCTCGAGGGACTGGAAGACCTTGCGGTCAACGGAGCCGGAGGCGTCGACGTGGTGGCCGGGGGCGGAACCGCGGTTCTTGGTGGTTCCGTGGTGCTTGCGAAGGCGGCCGACACCGACCGTCTTGCGGAGGTAGACGTGGCGGGCGATGGCAGCGGCGCGGACGTAGTACCAGTCAATGTCCTGGGGGGGGAGCTCCCTCGAGACACCAGTCTTGACGGTGTCAACCCAACCTGACATGTGTTTGTCAGTACAGGTGGACATCTTCGTTGCACTTTTTTGCGTTGCCTTTTCGTAAGGGATAACAACAATTACCAAAGAAAGAAAGAAAAAAGACAGAGAGAGAGCAAGAGATTAGGGAAAGCAAACATACCAGGGATGGGAAGCTTGCCCTGACGCTTCAGGAAAGCAGAGTAGGCGTTGATGAACTTCTGCGCCTATTCAGACAGAAAGATATACCCATTAGCAATGATTCCGTCATCAGAAGTCTTTCGACTCCCTCGCTCCTGCTCCATCCGTATAATGATCCCTTTATCTAACCACGAGACCAATCGACACTTTCCAAGAAACAATCAGCAAGGTAAAATCTCCCACGCCATGTCTACCAGGCAGAATCACATGAATCTTTGGGCCATGGTTGAAATGGAAGGGGGGGGTTTTGATTGATTTTCCTCCTCGTCCCTTTTCAGGGACCATTTGATTGTTTCTCTTCGGTATTCATGGTTCGGGAGGTATTGGGATATATCGGTATTCGAAGATTGGTTGCGATCGCGTGGGTATTGGTCGTCGATAAGACTACATGTGTTTTTTTTTGTTTTTGCTTCAACAAGGAGAACCTACATCAACATCGCGAACAGTGACACCGCCGGCCATTTTTGCGTTTTTTTTGGTGTTTTTGGGGGAAGGAGAGGTAGAGAGAAGAGAGAGTGGTTGTCGGTGGTGTGTGTGTGCGGTCAGTCGTGATGGATTGCGTCGGCGGTTAAGGATAATTTCGCTGTGGTCGACTAGCCTCTCGTGGTTTTTTTTTTTTTTTTCCTTGCGGTGGTGGGTTTACAAGCCCTAAGGTACACTATTGGTCGATGTCCTTGTGAGTCAGCAGCAAGATATCACAGTGTGTTTATATAATGTGTGCACCGTGAACTTCATACTGTATACTGATTAGGCACGTGTTTCGCCATTGGCACTAAGCACTAAGTATCGAGGGTCCAGTTATTTCCAAGAACAAAAGTAATAAATAATAATAATGATAGTACTAATATCCCCGCGGCTTGGCAGATCTACGAGTCTTGTTGTACATGCTTATGTGTATGCCAATTCAAATACGACATCAGTGTTACTATTCACGTCGTAGCAAAGCAGAGGGTGTCTTACGGATGGAGCAGACTAATGCATGTTATATAACCACAGTACTACGAGGGCGTATGATGATGGTAAGCTAGCATGTATCGTATTGACGTCTGCCACATAGTATAACAGAAGAAGAAGAAAAGACGGAAAGAAATGAGTAGAACAAGAAAAATAGAAGAAGAAAAAGAAGAAGCAAGAAAGAAAGAAAGCCAAATGCAATGCCCATTCCCATTCTATAGAGGGTATTCCCATGTCCCGTAGATCCATTACTTGAAGAGGAAGAAGAAGAAAGCAAAGAAAAACGGTGCCCACGCATGCAAGTCAACAAAAAAATACAACAATCCCGAGTCCTTTTTTTTTCCAAATCTTTTTTTTCCTTCATTTTCTCTGAGGAAGAAGAGCAGAATATTCAAGCCCAGTTGGCCAGAGTGGCCATGACACCCATGCCAAAGAGGACACATGCAAAAGCAAACAGCTGGATCTTGAGGGGGGCCTTGCGCATGTAGGGGTTAAACATGAACTCGTGGGCGAGGAGCTCGACGAGACCGGTGTACATGAGGATGCCGGCGCTGATGGAGTCGAAGATGCCGTTGACGAGCTTCTGGCTGTTGAGGTTCTTGGGGCGGGCGCCGACGCCGGCGGCGATGCCGACGGGGGTGGACAGGGAGAAGCCCGCGGCGAGCAGGTAGGGCAGCCACTTCCTGCCCTTGGGCCAGGGGGAGACGGCGAGGCGGGAGCCCAGACCGAGGCCCTCGAACATCTGGTGGAAGACGAGGACGACGAGGAGGATGACGAGCTCGTCGGTGGTGCCGAGGGTGAGGCCGATGAAGACGCTGTGAAAGATGATGCCGAACTCGAGGATGAAGATGGACAGGAGCTGACCGGTCAGGCGGGGGTGGGCGTCCCCCTCGACGTGGTCGCGGCGGTGGGCCAGGTGATCCTGCCCTCCGGGGGGGTAGCTCACGTCGCCGTCGCGTCCGGGCAGGCCGAGGCTGACGTTGACGTTGTCGTCGCCGCTGCGGACCGTCTGCTCGTCCGACACCGACTTCTTCTTGACGAAGTCGAGGGACGGGTCGAGCTCGGGGTCGGCGACGGCGAAGCCGTCCGGGTCGCCGTCGTCGCGGTCGTCGATGCCGCGCGCGGCCATGAGCTCGACGAAGAACATGACCAGCACGGTCCAGAGGCCGATGGCGAGGGCCCACGGGTATTCGCCCAGACGGTCGGCCAGGCACTCGTCGCCCAGAGCCTCGAGGGCCGGGTCGAGCAGGTGGAGCCAGGCCGTGGCCAGGATGACGCCGGTACCGACGTACTTGCAGACGAAGAAGAGGGCCTTGGGCACGTGGATCCGGCCCTGGTTGGCCAGGAAGATGGGGAGCATGGAACCGACGGCGGAGGCGGCCATGATGATGAAGATGGAGGCTATGCGGAGTCCCCGGCGGGTGTCGTCCGTCGCCTCGCCATCGCAGCTGGCTTCCTCTTCCTCTCTGGTCACGAGGGTGGAGAGGATGACCGACTCCTGACGGGGATACATGATTGCTTCTTTCTTGTTGTTGTCGGTTGCGAGTGTGATGAGGGCTGCTGGTGCGTTTGAAGGAGGAAGGAGTTGGTGAGAGGAGAATTGGAAGTTGTCGAGATAGATGTATAGATATATGTATATTTTATATCAAAAGGATGGTCTGTTTGATATACACATATACATATATATATATATATATACGTATGTGTGTGTGTGTGTGTGTGTGTGCGTGTGTGTATAAAGGAAAGAAAAGAGGAGACGAACTTCTTGTTAGATGCCAAGACCAGAGATGATGAGTCTGATCGAGGTCAAGGTCAAGGTCAAGGTGAAGCGACTTTGAGGAAGGAGATATAAAAGGGAAGGGAAAAAAAAGAATTATATTCGACGCGTGTATATAGACTGGTATACGAAGCTGCGAACCTTGATGGTCAAGACCAATCAAGCCAAGACGAAGGACGTGCCGAATTCCGATCTGACGCGGACGGGAAGACCGTTAACGATTCCTTTATTGGAATAGAGGAGAATGTTATGATTCTCTTCTTTTTTTTTTCCAACCTTGAATGCGACCTTTTTTTTCCCCCATTCTCTCCCCATTTCCTCTCTCAGAATTCTCTTCTAGGTAGGCAACTCCGTTGATGACAAACCCTCAAGGTTGTTGCAGGGAGTGCATATTGTATATATATCACACACACACACACACACACATATATATATATATATGTGTGTGTGTGTGTGTGTGTGTGTGGGTGTGGGTGTGTGTCTTTGATATAATGTATAACGATAATGTATAACGAGCTCTCTGTTCTGACGAAACCAGCAATGACGAGGGAATATAAACAGCTCTCCATAGACCAAACCAGATCGAGTGTGAATAGACCGTGAAGAGAAACTTTGAAAAACAGACATCACCAGTAGACAGGCAGAGATGAAGAGGGGGAGGAAGGGAGAGTGAAAGAGAAACAGAAATGTAAAGATAAAAATAAAAATAAAGAAAAAAACAAGAATGAAAACCACAACGCATCATATTGCAGATTCTGAGACAGTTCGAGAGGCCGCGGACGGGAAGAGAAAGCCACAGGCAGATAGATCCGCCATGTATTGCATGCGAATAATAGTATATCGAGTAGCGGGGCCGCTGTCGCATACAGATATTCCCCGTGTCCTATACGTATATGGTTCGAGGTCCCGGAGTGTATTACTACTACGATTGCATGAGTCGTCTCTACCGACCGTTCCAACGTTGTAATATGACGAACTATCAATTTTTTCAGAACCCAAAAAAAATCTCCTTTTTTTTTCTGTAAAACCTTTTTCGATGCAGAGAAGATGAAAAGGAAAATTGCTGTTTAAAAAAAAAAAATTTAATAAATAATAAATAATAAATAAATAAAAACTTCCCTTCTCTGCCTTGATCCCCTTATTCCCAGACTAGACAGCCCAGAACCAAAACCAGCAAGACGCCAAGGGAATAGACAAGGAATTAGACGAGTAAAACCGGGGCAACGTTGACCATCAAGGTCCTCACACGGCTCTGACGGCACGACCTTTTGTCCCTCATCTGATTATTGATGGACGAATGGATTCATCGCCACGACTCCCCAACGGCCAACGGCATGATGGGCATTTCCTAATAGTAATCCTCTTTTCTTGTCTGCAGAAGTTTGCCGAGTAATGAGAGTGGCGTGAATACTGCTCGTAATGAGTTGTCATCACATGTAGTATTAGTAGTAGTAGTAGCAGTAGTAGTAGTAGTAGTAGTAGTAGTAGTAATAGTAGTAATAGTATTAGTAATAGAAGTATTAGTAATAGTAGTAGTAGCAGTAGTAGTAGTAATAGCAGTAGCAGTAATAGCAGTAGTAATAGCAGTAGTAGTAATAGCAGTAGTAGCAGTAGTAGTAGTAGTAGTAGTAGTAGTAGTAGTAGTAGTAGTAGTAGTAGTAGTAGTAGTGCAGCATCATCACGGAGATTTCCTCTCTCTCTCTATTCCCATCTTCTCTCTCTCTGCCTCTCTCTGCCTCTCTCTGCCCCTCTCGTGAAGCGTGTCATAATATTCACAGATGGCATCACTCTTTGTTTTTGTCAATGTTAGGGTATTTTTTTGGGGGGGGAGTCTTTTTATCTTTACCCGTTCACCAGTGATAATACATACTCTCCTTAGTAGTGGTAATATAAGAAAAGAAAAGAAGAAGATTGGAAAGAAAAAAAAAAAAACAGAAAATAAAATCCCATGTTTGTACACGGCATGCCTCTCTGGTCTCCTCTTTGCAGCAATGCCTCGATGCCCTCTCCTGCTGATCCTTCCGCTGCTGACCTCCCACCTCCCATCATGACGAGAATTGAATCTCCAACCCGACACTCCTGAATGGCTTGTCCAGCCTCCTGAGATCGATACCGGTCCCCAGACTGAAGAGCAGAGACTTCACCCTACCCTCCCACAGCACCCCGATGTTCATGTTCTGATCCAGCCTCGCCTTGAGCACGCCAGCATACTCGTCCTCGCCCTCATCCTCAGAGTCCTCCTCCACCGTCATCACCACCTCTCCTTCCTTCTTCCCGTCACCGTCTTCGGGCCCGGGCTTGGCTACCGGTTTGACCATCGGCTTGGCCACCGGCTTGGCCACCGGCTCGACCACCGGCTTGACCACCGGCTTCTCGTCTAACCTCCAGTCCAACTTGGCCTGGAAGCTGCGGTCCCCCACGCCAAACATGTCTTGGCCGTCCGGCGCGGCGTCGACGACGGACGGCTTCCTCCACAGCTCCATGCCGACGGCCCAGGCGCTCTCGTAGCTGAAGACGTTGAACTCCATGCGCGTCGCGAGGCTGCAGTGCCTGCCCGCCATGACCGAGTAGCTGGCGTTGATGTTGCCCATGAGCGGGTTGAGCGTCAGCGTGGCCGACAGCGGCGTCCCCCTGTGCGTCGGGAGCGTGGCGAAGCGCGTGCCGACGCTAATCCCACCCGACTTGTTGAGGGTGCCGTAGTAGACCTCTGCTCCCGTGCTGAAGCGGCCGTATATGCGCTCCCGGTCCGTGCCACCGTTACCGCTGCCGTTGCCGCTGCCGTTACCGCTGCCGTTACCACCGCCATTGCCGCCTCCTCCTCCTCCTCCTCCTCCTCCCTCGTCGCCACCCTCTCCGCGGTTCGGGCTGGCAGCGTCGTGGTGTCTGTTGTGGTGGTGTTGCTGGTGAGGCAGAGCTACGTCCCCTCCGGAGTTGTAGACGCCCCTGAGACCGAGGAGGCCGCCGTCCGACGAGGCCAGCCCCTCCCACGCGTACCTCCCCACGTCGTACTGCACCTGGCCGACGGCCGTCCCGCCGTTGCGCAGGTGGGCGCCCGACACGGCGCTGAACTGCACCTGCAGGGCCGGGCTGACCCGCCGCACCACCAGCGCCTCCAGCAGCGACTGCGGCAGGTACAGGCGCCCGTACAGCAGGGAGGACTCGGGCCTGTCGTCCGCCGTGCGGTGCGGCGCCTCCTCGCGCCGGGACAGCGGCCGCAGCGGCCTGTACGACCGGAGGAGCTCCGGGAGCGCGACCGCGTCCGACCGCGGCGTCAGGAGCGCCCGCAGGGGCTCCGACGAGAACAGGTACGAGACCGACCCGTCCACCACGCCTACCGATCCCAGCTGGTACGACGTCGCAAAGTTCGAGCTCGCCAGCGACGAGAGCGTGAGGCGCAGACCCCTAGGGGTAGGGAAGTCTAGGAGGGCTGTTTTGAACACATGTTTCTTGTCAGCTTCTTCTGTCTTTTTAATCATCTTGTTTTTCTTCTTCTCTCCTCTTCTCTTCTTTTTCTGTTGTTGTTGTTGTTGTTGTTGTTTCCTTTCTCTTCTCTCATTCCTTCTTGCTGCTGCTCCTCTCCCCAGACATACCATCTGGTATCGTGTTGAGGGCCGCGTACGAATTGTCCCGGTCCCAGCCTGTCGCTTCGTAGAAGGCGCTGTGGACGTAGTCCATGAATTCTCGCATCGTCAGCTTCCGGTGATCATGTCCCCCCCCCCCCTTCTGGAGCGAATCTGTCGCCTGCTTCTTGGGGAGCGGTATCGGTGAGGTGGTGCGTGTCCGTGATGATGATCGATGTCGCGTAGTCTGTCGAGAGAGCTTCTGCAGGAGGACAGGGTTGAATGGAGGTGCCGACGCCGCCAATGGAATCACGTGAAGCGTCGGTCCACTCTACACGGTGCTGCTCAACGTGATGCTCGAGTTGTTTATGTATCTATTATATGTATGCATACACTTCGTATATAAACCAATGAATACATATATATATATGTATTGTGTACGGAGTTAACCCGATAGAAGCTATTCAATCCCGGCATGCTTTGCAAATCATCGCAGAACTTCTCCGCCATTAGAAATAGGAGACCGTTCAACGCTATCTCCTGGCACGGACGGCTCGCGGACTTCTTATAAGCCAATGCCCGAGAATATAGAATATATAGAATAAGCTTCCTGCCTTACCCCCGTACCATAACCGTCACCAAATTTCACATTATAGGAAGCCAGAACTTAGCCTATTGTAACCATTAAGGAGTCTGAGCCGTAAGCGTTATATTACGACCCGTTATGCGGCCTTTACGTGCACCCTACAATTTTCTTACTCATTAACAATTCACGACTGATTTTAATAACCTGCATTAAAACTCTTACGTTGTCCTATACATTCTTAGATTTTCTTAAAAATCCCTAACTATCCCTAGGTTAGTCATCCTTCCCACCACTCCGTTTCGTCATTTCCTATAACAGTAGCACTTACTCGTATTCACTCGCTCGTTCTGTCCGGTCGGGCCATGCCGAGGCCCTCCTTTAAAGGGGCGTCTTACCTAACGTTCATTTCGTTCACTTAACCTTCGCTCCGTCCCCGTCGCTTCGGTATAGGCGCTAATACTAGTCTTGAAGAAGCCTCTAGCGGTGTGATATAGTAGTACTAGACCGTTTACACACAACACAATACAATTCGAAAGACAAATCATTTCCTATAAAGTTATAAAATGTTCTAAAAAGAAAACGCATAATATTATCCCGATGGTGTTCCTACCTACTATACTACATAACTAATATATATAATATTTTTTTCTCCTCTAAAAAGAAAAAAATGACACTTTATTCTATAACAATATAAAAGAAAACTCCGTGCCCCGTCGCTATAGCTAAGAACCAAAACATTACTATAACCTAGTGGTGATACCGGTCGCATGCGCCAATATCTTCCTCTATGTCGCCAGGTTACCCCGCCCGGGAATTCTTAACTGCCCGAGAAGGGAGTCGACCTTAGTGGCTATAGAGCCATATATGTCAGCCACATTGGCTGCCCAATATAATAATTAAGACAGACGTACGTTAACACTCACAAGATAGCCGTGCTAACTCAGCCGGCGTAAGAGGGAAACCCTTAAGGACCTGCCCGGTCTCGATACTAAGTAGAGGCTCTAACTCACTATCCGGCTTTATAGCCGATGCATTCTCTCGTGCAATCGATACATTCCGGTCTCTAGTGTTCGTTAGCTTCCTACTTCCTCCGTAGACATTAAACAAGACAGTAACAAACCTGGTCACATTCTCCTGTGACATAGTGGCGAAGCCCTATTGCATCTCCTAACGCAAATTAACCTACTCCTCCCGTAGCTGCCTAACCTCTCTAGTCAAGTCGGCCAAGGCCTCTAAAATCCTCGCTCCTCTGTCGACTGCGGGCAAGTTTCCCACCCTCGCCATCTACTCGGAAATGGTATCGAGTGACGATGCCACTACGTTGAAATCGGGCGCGTTGCTAGCTATCTTGTCTAAGATAAATCACTTCCCGTGATATAGATATAAGGAAGAAAAACACCCTACCTAGGTGTAACGGACCAACCGTGTTAACAACAATAAAACGCGTACCCCGCGCGTAGTCAGCTAACCACCGGGAGAACCCCGGCTACGACTCCATCCTATCGACGATAAGATAAAACAGACCACTCGTCACATACGTTCCCCATCCTCTCTTCTCTCGACCATCTTCCCTCTAGGAATGAATAAATGAATGAATCTACTTTATGGATAAGATGAATAGACTATCAAAACAACAACATACAAGAAGCCCTTCTTATCACTCCGTTCACTATCCCTACAGTATATAAGTCAGTCCCTCATCCTTCCTCTAATGATATACCACCTCCCTCCTCCGTCCTCCGGTTTTGCGACAGCTCCCTATATATCTGCCTGCTAGTCCGCTAAAAGGCTCGTTCGGTCTAATCATTTCATTCTTTCCCTCCCTTAAACGACTTGGCTACCAATCCTATGCTAGGGCATAGGGCAGCCTCTTATAACCAAACATACTATTCCTAACAACACCGTGATCTAAGTAATACATACGCCCACTATAGATCTGTGACGGTTGGTACGACTCTGTGCTACAGGGTAGTCAGAGAAGTGTCGGTTTTATGTTAGCGAGGCCGTTAGGGCGTCTAACTGAGCAATAAGGCAGTTATAGTCGTAGGTGCTAATTATGAAAGGAACTAGGGTTCTAAAAGAAGCGTTGACTATTATATTGATAGCTAGGTAAAGAGTGACTAGGCTATAGAAATGAGGTTAACTATATACTAGGCGATCGCTAAAGGGATGTAATAATCGTGAGGAGTGATTATTACAATCGCTAGGTAATCGAGGTAATCGCTTAGTTAGTAATCGCTACGATCGCTAAATAATTAAGGCGAT